ATCGCCACAATCTGTACAACACCCACCCTCAAGTTTGACATCAAGCCTTTCCGCGATGAATGGATTCCTTCTCGGCAGAGCCATACCATCTTTTGTTGCCTCTTCCACAGCCGCTGATAGATCTACCAATAATGACCACATATAACTTTCCACTCCAACCGATGTACATCGAGCGTATATCTCTAGGCAAACTCGAATGACGAGAGCTCCATATCGATCAAGTAAAGTTAAGCAGGCAATGGATCGACCATACGTGCTATATGTATCAGATTGATACCCACATCAGCGACTGTTTTTGATACACTATGGCGAGCGAGATTAACTCCCTCAATTCGAACAGCACATCCTCATCTTGTTAGCGTATGAAGTCCTATGAGAGAGTCATTCGGGAGTCATACGTCATACGCGAGTCATTATTCAGCGACTTCCACAGAACGTTTCACGTTTTCCCGAAAAAAATGAAAAACTTGCTGAAATTCCGCATCACTCGAGTGTATGATTATCTTATCTCCGCCTTACCCTTTTCCATAGTCCTCCAGCTATCAAATATTTCCTTTTTAACTTCCTCGCATGCGACGCCATATGAAGTACCGTACCTGACCATATATACACCTTCTCAATCTCAAGTTCAACAATTGAAAGAACAAATTAGGTGAATGAAATTTGATTTTCGACAAGTGGAAGGTGTTATTCGCGAAATGAAAATTCAAATTCGAAATGAAAGTTCGATTTTCGTGGACCGGTTGAAAATGAAAGTTCAAATTCGTAGATGAAATTTATTAATTCGGAGACGCAAGTTCAAATTTGTCGAACACAAGACCAATTTCGACCAATGAAAGCTCACTTTCATTCGAAGGAAGGAAATTCTGGTCAGCGTCGTGCCACGGATTGTGACTTGCGACTAGCAAATTTTTATACTCTTAGTATATACCGTGATGAATAAACATGAAATACAATATACAATTCCACAAACCCGCGCCACCATCAGAGCACCTCCTGCCGCCCAACAAACCACCATCCGTCCAAAAAAATCAACCCGCGAGTTCCCGATGAGATCCACAGGTCTATACAAAGTGTACCAATATTCGTCAAGTTTTTGCCACAGCCATTTTCACTAAAGACTCTTTTGAGGATGTATTCTCTCAAAAATACCATATTCACTATACTGGAGCAAAATATTGAGGACACATGTAGCTCCCGATCAATCGATCAAAAGTTCATTGCAAAAGCTCTCACACTACAACTCAAATGCCACTCACCATTTTTCTTGCTGGTCACAGTATCCTTCAAATTCTCGCCCAACAATACGCAGGAACATACTGAAATGATACACATGTGCATGCGTGCAAGTAGTTTGCATACACACTGTTAACAACCTCACAACTGCTACTACCAGCAGCAGTATGCGAGCCAGGAGCTTCGGAAACCAACATTAATATCATACCCCACCCGGCATCACTGTCGAGGCATTCTAATCTATATCCGATCACGAAGAATGCACAATACTACTATTCAAGTGCAAACTATAATCGACATTATCGCTGAAGACTCTCCTACATTGCTTGTTTGACTGCGCACAACCAAGGTCGCAGGTTCAATCCCCGGGCCCTCCACCCACTTATTCGAGTTCATCATATCCAAGTGCTTCTGAACCTCCTTCTTATCCCAATGCTCGTCCAACAACCCTCCGCTGAATACCTGACATATCACCACGGCTGCGACACGAAATTATCTTTAATTTATTCAAAACGCCCCTAACCTCGCCACAATTTTGGAAAATTTGGGAAAAAATTATTTCGTTTTTTCTGTGATTTTATCTGGATTTTTTTCCAGATTTTCAGAAACCCCTAGACTGACCATCTCTATTGGATAGGGCTGATGCATCGACATAGCGCTGTGCTGAACTGCTGTAGTAGGGTCCAGCAAGGACTGGAATCTGAATCACAAGAGGCTCCCAACCTCATCTCAAGAATTACCGATCGAACCATAATGAGATGAGTGTCTGACGATATATTATTCCAGCGCCAAATGGTCTAGCAAATGTCCAATAGTTATAAGTTGAAAAATAAGGAAAACAGTTTCGAAACTTCATACAATTTCAGAGGCACTTGTATTTCAATTTTGAAGTTATTTTTAACAGAAGTTTAATTTCTCGGCTCAGTTGATTTCACATTCTATCCGCTCGAGTTGAACGAAATTTGAATTTGACCTTTCACTGCTAACAATCTTCAGAGACGTTTTCTGTTTGATTATTTTTCCTCATTTCAGTGCAAACCCGACCAACCTGAACTGCATCTCCTCGACCATCCTCATCTCCTTCCATAATGGTGGATACCCTTCCGGCCCCTCTGTTGCGGCTTGCAACCGACATACCGCTGTATATCTGGCAACGACTAATCTCACCGTCGTAGATTCATAAACTCAAATTCCTCAACACTTATAAAATATTTAAGCGATATTCGCGCTATGCAGCAATCGGAAAAACATCTTTCACTAGTGTTTTGTATATCACGGGTGAAACTCCAATTCAATATACATGAAATATAATTCTAAATTCAAGATATTAATATGAATACATATCTCTTCGAGCTGTTCGCATAATCGAGTTTTCCGATCTTTTCCCAACACCTCCGCATATAGAGGATTCGTTTGAACTATCTGATGGCCTCCCGCGCTTCGTAGTTAAGCCAGAATAATTCTGCACGCACGCACGCACAACGCGAAAGTGCCTGTTGTTGCGGTATATGCTCCGCTCGCTCCGCAATA